TGCCCTGCCTGCCCTGCCCAGCCCAGCCCTGCCCTGCCCTGCCCTGCCCAGCCTTGCCCTGCCTTGCCCTGCCCTGCCTGGGGTTCTCTCGAATGTGCCATTTCACGTGTTCTCACTCAGTCCTCCCAGCAGGCCAGCATTGGGCCCCGGTTACAGATGAGGAAACAGTTACCTGTTTCAGAGACTCCCCATTGCTCACCTCAACTCCGGGAGCTCAGAGGTGGCTGGCTCAATGTGCACGTCCCAGCCCCCTGACTTCCAAGCCCCGGACTCTAATCTCCACCCGCAGCTATTACACGCATGTGAGCCCTTCACACTCAGCATCTCCCATTCACCCAGCGCCTTCCCTGCTAATGACAGGCGGGCCGCTGCGCTCGGTAATGAGTCCTACGCATGCCCCTGGCTCAGGCCTCTGAGAGGTGTGGCCACCAGTGATATAGGCAGAATGGAGCAACACCCCCACCCTCCCCACGCCGCCCCGTGGTCCCAGGAGGCAGTGAGCAGAGAGCACGGTTTCCTGCTCAGCGCCCTCCCGTGTCAGGGGAAGCTGCCTGAGAAAGGCAGAGCAGGGAGGGGGGACTGGTGACCAAGGAGCATCCCCTGTGTGCCTCACCTGGCCCAGTCCCTCCCACAAGGTGCTCCCAACCCAGCGGGAGAGGCAGGCGAACACATGTCCAGTGATGCTTCAGACACAGGCTGGGAGGGAGGCCACAGGTGCCGTGGCGCTCCCAGGAGGGGGCCTGATTGCACACTGAGGGGGGAGGCCTGCTGGAGGAGTGGTGTCTGAGCAGGCTTGGGGGCGGGATTCCGTTACCTGCTAAAAACTGAAGTCATTCTACACAGAACAATGTGTGCATAGGATGTCAACCACCACGTAAGGAGTGTGAACTTGACCTATATTTATAAAAGCCCAGCGACCGAACAGCAGAACGACCAGTCGACCAGTCGCTATGACATGCACTGACCACCAGGGGGCAGATGCTCAACACAGGAGCCAGTGGTCAGTGCGCTCCCACAGGGGGAGCAGCTGCTCAGAGGGCAGGCCCACAGCCGCTTGGCTGACCGGGATGAGTGGCGTTCCCACAGTGGCCTGATTCCCGCGGGTCAGGCCCCCCACCAGTGCACAAATCAGTGCACCGGGGCCTCTAGTTCTGCAATAATAACACTTGTTTAAACCGTCTGAAACCCTGAGTTTATAGGGAGAGGGTGGTATGACATCAGCAATTTCATATGGTTCAATGCATAACAGTGAACATTTGCTGAGCTCTTACGACGTGCCAGACACCATCCTAAGCAATTTATGCATATGTGTCCGTTCGCTCTTTAACCAGAAGAGGTAAGTAATGTTATCCAGTTACCCAGATGAAGAAACAGAGGCCCAGAGAGGTGAAGTGACTTGCCCAAGGCCACACAGCTACCAGGGAGGCAGAGCGAGGTTTTGAACCCAGGCTGCATGGCCCCCCAGCCCACACTATTCGCCGCTGCGGTCTGCTGCTGCCCACGGGGATGGAGGAAGGGTCTTCGGTGGGAGAGCAGCATTCACTCAATCATCAAAAGCTTGCCAGCCCTTCGAGGACATTTTTGTATGTTTTCGGGCTCCCCTGCCTCCCTTTCTTTCTAAGCTCAACCATAAAATGGTGGTGACATGTGACAAAGGTAGTTACTGCCCTTCAACCACGACCTCGTTTTGCTTAGAGGCCGCCACTCCCCTGGTGTCGTTACTTAACAAACTGGGTTTCACCGCAGGAAGCTCTTGCCCAGGAATCCAGCCCAGAGCCCGTCCTCCACGCCCATCACAGCGGACAGAGCCAGGGCTGCGGGGCGTGCGGTGTGGCCGTGACAATGAGGCTCCTGCATGGCCTCCCAGAGAAACAGCCCAACAGGCCCCTCCCCCTCTAACTGTTCACCGATGAGGCCTTTCTGACGCTGCCTGTGGGCCAGGTGCTCTGTGAACATGGGATGAGGGCAAAAGGCCCACGTGGACACCTGCCATCGAACTACGAAGAAGCCGGAGTGTCCTGTGGACTTGAAACCAAGTCCAATCAAGGAAGAGTTTCCATCCGTGATGTCCAGTGAGAAGCTTGGCGCCAGGAGGGTTAACACGCTCCGGGTTCACCGTTTATTTCATTTCCGCTCTGACTGCTTCCTCACAGGCTTGCCAGGGGGTTGCCAGCAGGATCCCCTGGAGGAGACTTTTAGAGTCCCCCCCACAGAACTCCGGATTGGAGCATCCAGGGGGGCAGGCCGACCTCTCCTATCTCCCATCCCCCACCAGTGACGGCCCAGCACCGTCGGGCCACCGGATGACCAGAGCGCCACTCCAGAGCCAGGTGCCCCGGGGGGGAACCCCAGCTCTGCCTCGCACTCTCCGTGTGACCTGGGTCGGCGATCCACCTCCCTGTGCTCCCCCTTCTCCCAGGTCACGTCGAGCTAGTGATGAGAGCCACGTGGTGGCCCAGGTGAGTCCTGGGTGAGCTCACACGTCGCACACACAGGCCCGGCGCCGGGGAGCACTCAGGAAATGAGGGGGGGGAGGCCCCTTCTCATTCTGTTCTTAGCAGCAGCATCCCTGTGGCCTCTGAGCCTCCCGTCTGCACCTCACGCTGCACGTGGCAGCTACGTTTGATCCTGGCAGCGCCCCCTTCTTCCCCCCGTAATTCACCCCTCTTCGCCCCTCTGTCTTTGCAGGTGCTGTTCCTTTCTTTGCCTTCTACCTGCCCGAGATAGTACAGGTCAAAGGTCAAATGTCAGAGGTAATTTTCCTAGAAAACGAGCCAAGCTGGGAAGGTCGTATGCCTGGGTGATCAGCCTGTAGACACGTGATTTACAAGGAAAGCCACCAGTCAGGGAAAAGCATTCCAGGTCAGTGACAATAGCTGTCATCACAGGACACGTCCCCTGTGCTGGGCAGTACCTCGGTCATGTTCCAGACCCATCCTCAGCCCTGCTTACCTGGCTCCACCCTCCTCTCAGCAGCAGCATTAGCCCCGGTCCCCAGGTGAGGGGAGTTAGGCGCATGAGGGAGCCCGCCCAGCACCCCCTGAATCACAGCTGGGATTTGAACTCAGGCCAGTCAGACTCCACAGCTCAGAATCAGTCAAGTCAGTTTTCTCTGAACACAGAGGGCTGCTCCAGCTCTGACTGAGGAGGGCATTCTGGCCCAAACCTCCAGGAAGTACAACGGGGAGAGCTGAACGAAATATAACAAAAGAGCTGTTTGCACCATCTGAGAGCCCAGGGTGGGGACTGTGCGGATTTGTGGGCCGATCGCCAGAAGCAGGAGAGAAGCCAGGAACAGCTAGCACAGGCCTGGGGGCCGCCTGTCCCCTCCGCCGCAGGTGAAGGCGGGTCTGTGCGTGAGGGTGGCAGCTGAGCAGTGGGAAGCCAAGCAGAGCTCCAGGGGCCACGGGGGAAGGACGCTGATAAACCAGACAGGCTTTGCCTAGGATCCTGAAAGGCTATGCCCTAGGAATGAGCGGGGGCAAGAAAGGAAGCAGGCCCCCCACGTACTGAAGCAGCTGACGTGAGGCATGGTCTGCACAGGCCCAGCTGCCTGTCAGAAGCTACAGGAATCCTCTCTGGATAAAGACAATCTCAAGCTCAACCTCAGGTTATGATTTTTGCACAAGTTTTCACACACAATGTCCAGCACTCACTGAAAAATAACCAGACACAAAACACATGATTTAGTAAGAAATGCAAATGAGCCCGGCAAGTGTAGCTCAGTGGTTGAGCATTGTCCCATGCACCAAGAGGTCACCAGTTCTATTCCCAGTCAGGGCCCGTGCCCCAGAGTTGTGGGCTGGATCCCCAGTAGGGGGCGTGCAGGAGGCAACCGATCAATGATTCTCTCTCATTAATGCTTCTATCTCTCTCTCCCTCTTACTTCCTCTCTCTCTCAAACCAATAAAAACATAGACAATAGAAAGAGGTGAGGAAAGGAAGCCAGTCTCATGGTGTTGGCCATTTTCTCCTTCTTGACCTGGGGTGCCTTCACGGGGGTGGCGCGGAGACGTTCACGGAGCTGCGCACGGACGCGCTGTGCCCGCCTCTGTGTGTGTGCTGCGCCTCCCGTGGAAAGTGTAATGGAGAACGCCCTCTCACCTCCAGAGCATCCAGTCGCGCTGTCGGTGCCGGCCACTCCGCCTGAGTCACGGGCCAGGGCTCGGGACGCCACGGCCTTGGGAGGGCGCTGTCCACTTCCGGGTCCAGGAGAGAGTTCTGAGCTGGAAGGGAACAGTCTCGGTGAAGCCGCAGCCAGAAGTCCACAAAGTCAGCAAGTCCCTGAGCCCCACGCCCGTGACCCAGACCGCTCAGGGGCCTGGGGCGCTCCGAGCGCCTCCTCCA